GATGGGTGGGAGCTGCTCAGGGCAGCAGCAGTGCTCCCAGTGCTGTGCTTCAGGGCTGCCCAACCCCAAGTATCCCAGTGGTGAATGCAGGTCGGCCTGGCTGTGGTACAGCAGCAATAGGATGGGACGAAGCAGGCAGAAGATCCAGAAATCCCCACCCTTCCAACTTCTGTTCCTGCTTCAGGAAAAAAAAAAAAAAAAAAAAAACTACAAAATTTCAATTAAATTTTCCTTGGAAGCGTTGACAGCAGCAGAGCTGCGGGAGGCACAGATGTTGTTTTGCTCCCAGCTTTGCTAACAGCTTTGCTTGCTGCTGACCCTCTGCTGGCAGTGTGGGGATGAGCGGCCGCAGCCCTGCACATCCCGAGGGGTCCCTATCCAAACTCCGTGTCCCCGTGCCGTGGAAGCTCTCCAAGGAGTGCATCACAGAAGGATGAAACGGGGCTCTGAGCGGCACGGTGTGAGCAGCAGTGAGCGTGAGTGTTGGGGATTACATGCAGTGTCAATGCAGGTGCGTGGGGTGAAGGGGCTGTGTCAGCTGGGTTGCTTCATCCCTTTGGTGCTGAGGTCTGCCCGCTTGGGAGCTGAGATGCTCTTGGCAGCTCTGCTCCGTGCACTCTTTGCTTTGTCCATCCCTGGCTTTGCTTGATCGAGGCGGTGCTGCAGATTTGTGGTCTCAGCACTGCACCTTTAGCTCAGGTGACCAAAATGTGGGATTTGAGGGCAGAACTGCAACGCCGTCCCCGAGGGCTGTGCCTATGGATAGGGATGGGCCAGAGGATGGAGCATGATGGAGAGCATGAGGAGACCTTAGTCCATGTAAGGGGTCCCATTGCCCCCCTCCTGCCCTCACCCGTGCCTGTAGTGCTCCCCATACATTCCCATGGCTTGAGCAGTGCCAACCTGTCCCCCCTCCCCTCTCCCTGGTTGGGTCCCCTTTCCAACCCAGCCCCATCCAGCACAGTGCTGAGCTCCGGTCCCTGCCCTGAGAGCGCAGTGCTCCACCAGATGGGACTGCACTCAGCTGCAGGATTAAGTGCTGAGAAAGGGATTACAGGGAGTTAATCCAGATCCATGTCCAACCAGGGGCCGCAGCCGGGCTGTGTGCATGCAGTAAATAACCAGTCGTGGTGCTTCGCTCGGGGCTGGGCTCACCAGCTCCATGCCAGCTGCTGCCCAAGCTGGGTTGGATTTCAGAGACCTTCTCCTTTATCCTGAAGCAGAGGAAAAGCAGAGGGGCTGGGGAAGCTGGGGGGGACCCCTCCAGGCTCTGTGCCACAGCAGCAGCAGCGCGATGCTCCCTCAGCCCAGCTACCCCCAGCACTTTGCAGTGCATTATCCCTGCGAGCACAGCACGATGTGGTGTGAGCATAGCAGGGCTGGGGGCAGCTGCAGCCCCCCTGTGTTGCTGCCCAGCTTCAGCCCAGCCCAGCCTGCAGGGTCCTGGGGAGGGGCTGCGCTCAGGGCTGGATGCTGCCTGCAGCAGTAACATGGCGAGGGCTGATCCCAGCCCACTGCAAGGCCAGGTCGGTGCTGGTTGGGGGGGGAATGGGAGCTGAGTAGGGCTGGGCTGCAGGTGGTGCTGGGGGGTGGAAGCTGGGAGCTTCATCTCTGTGTTGCAAATGGTGTTTTTCCCGTGGCTGAGGCACTGCAGGGCGCTGATGTGTTGAGGAGTCAGCAGAGAGCGGAGTTGAGGTGTGAGGTTGGTGGTTGTGAGTCTGCATGGGAACAGCTCAGGGTGCTCTGCTGTGTCCCTGTGTTTTTCTCGGTTCTTCTTTCAGAAGTGCAGGGTGAAGCCTTTCGCTGCTCCTCTGCCTCAGTTCTGCTCCCTTTCCCTGTTCCCTGCCTCCATCTCAGCTCTCCATCAGTGGGATGGGATGACTGTGGGTCCCATCGCTGCCCCCACTTCACCCCATCTTCTGACCACAGCTGGAGCCACAGCTGGAACCTGGGAGTGGAGAGGGAGGAGGTGGGAGGAGGAGAGCAGCATCCGTGCCCAGCCAGGCAGATAGAATGGAACTGCCTCAGCGCTGACGGGAAAGGGATTGTTGGAAGTTTTAGAGCTGAAAGAATCACTTAATTGTAGCTTATTTTTAGCTCCGGGGAGATAAAAGACAAAGCCCCCCCCCCCAGTCTCCCCCTTCCCCCATCCCACCTCTTTTACATAAGACACAGAACCAAAGCAGCAGCCGGGATGGGGGGTGGTCTGCACCCACGCTTCCTCTGCTGCAGGGGGGGGGAGTTTGCAGCCACCCTGACCTCAGTGCCCATCACCACACCACTCTGTGGGTGCTTTTAGAGCTTCCTTTCCCCCCCTCTGTGCCCGGAGCTGCAGCGTTACCGTCCACCTGTGGCCTTGGGCAGCTTTGTTTTGCTTTGGGCAGCAGCACTCCTCTGCTTTCCATTCACCTTCTTGCCCCTGAACTACTCAGAGCGCAGAGCAGCTCCAGCTGCATTAACCCTGTGCTGCAATTTCAGGCAGAAATGGGTCATCTCCCAGCGTGGCATTGCAGGGACAGATGGGGGGGGACTCCTCCCCCTCTCCATCCTGCTGCTTGTGGGTTCAGGCACCATGGGAAGGGTCTTGATGCCTGGGGTATGGGGAGATGTGGGGCTCCTTTGGGTGCAAAGCTGCCCCTGGGGGACCCGATGCCTTTGCTCCATGGTGCTGTTGGAGCTGGGGTGCCCTCACCCTGCACCCAGCGTGGGGTCAGGGAGCAGCGGATGCACGGCCACGAGCATCAGCTCCTTCCACAGCACAGCAACAGCATGGAGGTGGATGAGGCCCCTGGGATGAGAGGTGCTCTGGGAGGAGGAGGATATTCCTCTCGTTGTTGTGTGCTTTGATATCTCACTCCTCAGCTGCAGCGTGTGATACGGTCGGGGCCAGGAGGGGAATCAGGTTTCCATTCTGGAGTCACTGCGTGGGTTTGATGTCGGGTTTTGATGAATGCTCTGCGCCCTGCACACAGCCCTGGGCAATGCTTGGCCAGGTGAGGTGTCCCCCACAAGGGCTCTGTGGGGCTGTGGTACCCCCTACCCTGGTACCTGACCATCCCAGGCTTTACTCTGACTCCCAGCAAGGCAGGATTGGATTCCCCTGGGCATCTCCATACAAGGAGAAGCATGGGTCTGGATGCCTGTTTGAGCCTTATTACCTGAGAGAGGGATAAGTCATTAGTGAGGCAGTGCAATAAAACACAATTCCCCTGAAGTCAGCTCATTAATGATCCACAGGAGGCCAAGGATGTGGCTGTGGTGCTCTGCGGGTGCCCCAACCCCAGGGGTGCCTCCCCTTCATCAGCCCATATGGCAGAAAGGGCAGAGCCCCCTCCCCATAGCATCAGGGTCTGCTCACCCCTCTTACAGCAGCACAAGGGTGGGTCGAGGCACCCATCCTGCCCCACTGCCCATTGCTGAGGGGGGTCCTGGGGGTGTGGGGTGCCACAGATGAGCCCAGCAGTGGGGGTGCCATGGGGGGCTTTGGGGGTCCTGGGGACATAGGGGGATGTGTGCCATGGAGGTGCCCTGCAGAGGGGTTTGCTGGGGGCTGTGTAGTGCTGCTGGTCCCTGCTTGGGTTGCTGTCTGAGCACGTGAGGCTGAGCATCAGGCTAATGATCAGAACAGTCCCTTCCGGGCTAAAAATCCATTAATTTTCATCTTGCCCTCTTTTTTTTTTTTTTTTTGGTGGATGCCATAATTAGCTCCATCAGAGCAGCTTAATTACTTGAGGTCAGCCAAAGCTGTGGGACAGAGGGCAGGAGGGGTCCGGGCTCACCTGAGGAGGAAGAGGGGGAAGGAGGGGGGTGGGCATCTCTCCCTGCAGAGTGCAGCAGGGTGCAGTGCTGTGATGCTCACACACCACATCCCATAGCAACAGCGATGCTACATGGCAACAGCAATCCCCACCATCCTGCTGTGCTGAGGATACAGAGAGCCAGAGACCCCCCCATACACACACACCTCACCCCCAGGGTGGCAGAGCACTGGGGGTGGGGGTCAGCCCTGAGCCCCCCATCTTTTGCTGTTGCACAGCCCCCCATGTGCAGTGCTGCTTTGCTCTGGCCTCTCTCCCTTCCTGCAGGAAACCTCTCCTGATGGCAGCATGCAAAGCATCTGTGCTGCCTGCAAGCTCTGCCTTCAAACAGCACCATCAAAACGAAGCAGTCAATTTTCCAGCAATTAGCTACAGCGAGAACATTTCAAGTTCTAGAAAACCCCGCCCCGCAGGATTAATTAAATCCTCCAATTAATGTCTAATTTAAATGACGATGATGGCTGTTATCATTTCGTATTGATTTTTCTTTCGGTTCTTAGAATAGAGCTGTTGTCCCTTCCACGCCGCCTTTTCCACACCCCAGGAGCTGTTTGTTCTCCTGGGTTCATTTGCCAACGTTAAATGTGTGCCTGGGAAATGGAGCTGTGCAGTGCTGGGCTGGGTGCTGGGCTGGGTGCTGAGCTGGGTGCTGGGCTGGGTGCTGAGCTGGGTGCTGAGCTGGGTGCTGAGTGCTGATCTCAGGGGCTTCCAAGCGCTCCTCCCAACGCACTCTTTTTTGCTTAACCCACAGATATCAGCTCACAACACCCATACCCTCAACTTTTATGCAGAGGAAATACACTTGGCCGTGTGAAATTGGACTCCTGGCATATTAAATTTTGACTGCTGTAAACCCAAACCCATTACTTTCCCTTAGCTCAGGCGGCCATAAACCTCACCGCTGCTTTGCTTCTAGGAGAAGCTGGGCATTTATGTATCCCGGGAGCTGGTTCATTGGCGTAATGGATGTGTAACCTCCTGTAATTGCTAAGGTTATTCCTGGCTCTGTAAGCAGCCAGCCAGAGCTGGGTTTATTTGCAGTGGGTTGCTTGGAACGGCTTTGAAATGTGGAGAACACATGTGAGCAGTGCAGGGATATGGGGTTAAGGGTGTATGTGGCCATACAGGTGGGTGCAGGGCATGGATGGGTGCTGGGCTCTCACCTTCCTGCTCCCCTTGCAGACCAGGAGCTCCCGGCACTCACAGGGCTCCCAGCCTGGCCTGGCTGACCAAGCCAAGCTCTCCTTCGCCTCGGCTGAATCCCTGGAAACCATGTCGGAAGCAGAGCTGCCCCTGGGCTTCAATAGGATGAACCGATTTCGGCAGAGCCTGCCTCTGTCCCGCTCCACCAGCCAGACGAAGCTGCGTTCCCCAGGTACTCCAGCTCTGCCCCAGCCTTCTTGCATCCATGCATTGAGAAATGCAACCCCTGCCCATGGTGCAGCATTGCTCATAGCATCCATGTGCTGAAAATGCAACCCCTGCCCACAGTGCAGCTTTGCTCATTGCATCCATGCGTTGAGAAATGCAACCCCTGCCCACTGTGCAGCCTTGCTTATTGCATCCATGCGTTGGGAAATGCAACCCATTGCCCACAGTGCAGCATCACACCAGGACGTGTGAGCCCAGCAGCTGTGGGGATGTTGGCTCACTGCTCTCTGCTCGTTTTGCTTCCAGGGGTCCTCTTCCTGCAGTTTGGGGATGAGACGAGGCGTGTGCACATCACCCACGAGATCAGCAGCATGGACACCCTGCATGCCCTCATCGTCCACATGTTCCCCCAGAAGCTCACCATGGGGATGCTGAAGTCTCCCAACACGGCCATCCTCATCAAGGACGAGTCCCGCAATGTCTTCTACGAGCTGGAAGATGTCCGGTGAGGGACAGACAGACCTGGGGTGAGGGGGGAGCTCAGGAGCACACAGACCCTGATTGCTGGCACAGAGCACTGAGCGCATCCATCTCAGGGATGTGCTGATGATGGAAGCCTCTCTGCCGTCCCCATCAGTGGGGGTGGGATGACCCTTGCAATGGGAAAGGGTTTCCTTGGAGATGGTGGAGGGCTTTGGGTTGGTGTCAATGCCCTGAAAAGACTCCACAGCAGGCGGTGCTCATTCATCCCTGCAGAGCCAAAGCAGCCCTGGGTGCTGCTGTCTTGTGCCTCCTGCCTGGGCACGGCCACCAAACCCTCCCCTGGGACCACTGACGTTGGTTGGGGCTCTGCAAGCAGCACGGGTGCAGCTCTGTGTGAGTGCTGGGGCTCTCCTCATGGCTCTGCCTCTCCTTCCAGCGACATCCAGGACAGAAGCATCATTAAAATATACCGAAAAGAGCCGCTCTATGCCTCATTCCCTGCCTCGCACATCACCAACGGTGACCTGAGGGTAAGGGGCTGGGGGGGTCGGGGGGTGGGCAGCACCCCGGTGTGGGGCTGGGGTTGGTGCAAGGCAGGAGGGCGATGAGGAGGGCATGGCAATTGCATGTGTTTGTGGAAGGAGTAATGGCTGCGATTCGTCTTCCCCAGTCCTGGCATTGTTAAGCGTTGCTTTAAAAGAATGGATGTTTGGGGCCTGGCAGCGGGGTGTCATAAACACGATAATTAAGGGATTCATCACAGTGAATCATCCCACTCTTGGAGGAGAAGGAGGGAGCTGCCGCTTGCCAAAGCCAGGGGGTGACACGTGTGCTGCTGGTCCTTAGGGTTGCCACCCCCAAAGGCAGGGAGAAAGTGACCGGGCACAGCAGGATGCAGTGCTGACCATCCTTTCTCCTTTCCACAGCGGGAGATGGTTTACACCTCCAGGGAATCCTCTCCCACCCGCCGCCTGAACAACATGTCCCCTGCCCCCCACCTGGCCTCAGGCTCCCCCCCACCCGTCCTGCAGTCCTCATCCCCATCCCGTTCCCGCATGTCCTACAGTGGTGGCCGCCCACCCTCCTACGCCGGCAGCCCGGTGCACCACGGCGAGCGCCTGGCCAGCCTTCCCCCAGCACCCGGAGTCTCTCCCAGCCCCAGCGCCATCCTGGAACGTCGCGACGTCAAACCCGACGAGGACATGGCAGGGAAGAACATGGTGCTGGTGAAGAACGAGGGACTGTACGCCGATCCCTACGGCATGGTGCACGAGGGGCGGCTCAGCATCACCTCCACGCAGTCTCTGGCCGGCATGGGGGACCCTTTTGGTTACTCGGGGGGGCTGTACAAGCGGGGCTCGGTGCGCTCGCTCAGCACTTATTCGGCGGCCGCGCTGCAGACGGAGCTGGAGGACAGCCTGTACAAACCCAATGCACAGATCTACAGCGATACCTACGGACCCGGCCTGGGCTTCCGCATGCCCCCCTCCTCCCCGCAGAAGATGGTGGAGGGGCAGAGCCCCCACAGCCCTTACTCGGGGCCACCCAGCCGCTCCTCACCCGTCCGCCAGTCCTTCCGCAAGGATTCCTGCTCCTCTGTCTTCATGGAGAGCCCAGTCAGCAAGCCACGCAACCCCAGTGCTGCAGGACCCCCCGAGCTGTTCCCTGGCCCTGGGGACCGTCCGCTCTCGGGGTTCAGCTCCCCAGTGCCAGCCAAGGACACGGAAACGAGGTGAAGAAGGGCCCCGCAGAGGTTTCCCTTTGGAATTGGGCTCTGCTGGGTGGGTTGTCCTTGGGTATGACTGGGGAGCGGGGCAAGGTTCCTTCTTGCCAGCCCTGCAGAAGCACAGGGTTGTGTGGTGAAGTGCTGCCTCCAATCCTAACTGTGTCACTACCCCTAACCTTCATCCCCTGTCCTCGCAGGGAGAGGATGGAGGCCATGGAGAAGCAGATCGCCAGCCTGACGGGGCTGGTGCAGAGTGCCCTGCTCCGTGGCTCCGAGGCTGAGACCCCCAGGTAAGGAGCTGGGGGGGAGAGGGGGCAGGAATGAGATCTAGAGGGGCTCCTCTGGGCAGCTCCTCTGCACTCCATGTTCACCCCTTCCTCTCTTCTGTTGCAGTGAGAAGACTGAAGCCACCAATGGCGGGACTCCCCCATCAGCGTGTAAGTGGCTGGGGAGAGGTTTGGAGATTTCCCCCCACCCGGTGGTCATCCCCACATCCTGGGGCTGTTGTGGGTCCTTGTCCCCAAGGACTGGAGTGCTGCAGCCTCATCCCATGCTGGCAGCTCCAGGCTCACCTCTGCTCCAGGACGGAGGTGGTGGCAGTTCTGGGAACCAAGCAGCATCACTGCTGGGCTGGGACACAGTGGGGAAGGAGAGGGTTTGTGGGGAGCTCTCCCACCCAGGCTGGAGTTCCACATCCCAGCATCCTCCTCTCATCTCCCCCACCCCACAGCAACCAGCCGCAGCGGCATGGGGACCCCAGTGCCTGCACCCCCCCCACCCTCCGCCACCAGCACGCCGGCAGGGCAGCCCACAGCCATCACCCGCCTGCACATGCAGCTGCACCTCCACGACCTGCAGCAGAACGCCAGCGACCTCCGCAACCAGCTGCAGCAGCTCAAGAAGCTGCAGGTTGGTACCGTGAGGTCACCCGACCCGACCCCGGGGGCAGAGAATGCCCCATTCCCGGTGACCTCATGCAGGGCAGCCCACACAGCCCTGCTTTGCTCCCCAAATCCTCCCAGCTGCAGAACCAGGAGACGGTGAAGACGATGCTGCGGCGGACGGAGACGGAGATCAGCGTGCGGGTGACGGACACCATGCGCAAACACGAGGACCCGCTGCAGCGCCAGCGCAGCCTGGTGGAGGAGGAGAGGCTGCGGTACCTGAACGAGGAGGAGCTCATCACCCAGCAACTGAAGTGAGCAGGGGGTGGGGATCCTGCTGCCCGTATCCCCGCCCCTTGCTCGCACCCTCCCCCGGTGCCATCCCCATCCCTGGTGCCATCGTGGTCCCCGACACGGCTCTCATTTTCCCACTCTCCATGGGGACCTGGTGCCATCCCGCCCTGCTTTGTGCTCACAGTGACCTGGAGAAGTCGGTGGAGAAGATCCAGAAGGATCTGACGCACAACCACCGCCTCATCCCAGTGCAGGAGCTGGAGGAGAAGGCCGTGGTGCTCAAGCAGCTCGGGGAGACGCTGACAGACCTTAAGGGTGAGCGGGGGCCATGGGGCTGCACCAGTGCCCCCAGTGTTCCACCGACCACCAGAATCAACATAAGTCCTCCCAGCAGCTCGCTTGTGCTTGGCGCTGCTGCCCCTTCCCCATGCTGTCCCCCACCCTGTGCACACTGCTGTTATTTTGCTGCTCCTGCAGCTTTCTCCATTCCACGTCTCAGTGCAGAATGGCAGAGCTCTGGATCTGGCAGCAGTCACTGAGGCTGCAAGAGGACATGAGGACAGTGGGGACAAGGGGAAGGGCTCAGGACAGGGGTGGCAGCAGCTTTGCTCTCCTGCAGTGAGATTGCCTGATGCTGAGCAAAGGGAGTGAGCTGCTCTGTGTCCCCCAGCAGCACATCTGTGGGTCCTGGTGACCAAGTGCCCATCTCCAGGGCAGCATTGTGCCCATGGGCTGCAGTCAGTGCCAATGGGAGGTGGGTTGGTGATGGGATGGTGAGCACAGGGAGGTGAAGAGGCAGCAGCCCGGGCTCCCTGGGACCCTTCCATCCAGACACGATGGCAGCAGTGCTCTCAGTGACCCCGCTGTCCCCTCAGCCCAGTTCCCCAGCCTGCAGAGCAAGATGCGGGTGGTGCTGCGGGTGGAGGTGGAAGCTGTGAAGTTCCTCAAGGAGGAGCCGAACCGCCTCGACGGGCTGCTCAAACGCTGCAAGACAGTGACCGACACACTCACCCAGATCCGCAGGTGAGCTCTGCACCCAACCCCTGCTGCTGACCCTGCTCCGTGTCCTCCCCATCGTGGCATCCCATAGCAGGGTGTCCTTGGGGCGCACAGCCTTTGGGATCTCCTGTGCTGCTGTCCTCTCTGAGTTGTGCATGGAAATTCCTGGAGCAATTGACAAAAGGTTCATCTTTCTGCTTAGAAATTAGAAGGAAAAAAAAAAGAATGGTTGAATAACCCAAAGTGGAACGGACCTATCAAGCCCAACCCCAAAGGTTTGAATCCGATTCCTAATGCCCCCAGTGCTGTTCAGTGCGTATGTGGGAACCCTTCTTTGAAAACAGCTCCTTCCTTATCACCTTGGAAAAATGTGGCTCTGTATCTGGGAGCACTGAACGTGGCCAGAAATCTCATTCTTGAGGAGCAGAGCTGTTGGGGTGGAGGAAGCCATCTCCAGAGCTCACCTGCCCGTTCCCATTAGGAGACCTTTCAGCAGAGCTCGCTGCTGGGGCAGGCTGTGTTGCTGGGCTCGCCCCAGGCGCTGTTCTAGCCTGGTTTTGTATGGAGATCAGCTCGTCTGATGGCACAGCACACTGATCTGCCTACCTGTCACTCTCCTTCCCTAATAACTTCTGAGTCCAAAGGGCGATTTCAGGCAGATCTGACAGAGGGGTGGAATTTGGAGAGAGCTGCTTTCTTGCAAGCTTCACGCACGGGGACGGGGAGGTGGAGGAGCTCGTTGGCATGCGCTGCTGTGGGAGAGCAGACACTGGGGATGCAGATGCACACAGAGCTGTGTGCATTTGTAGAGGGCTCCAGGATGGTGCTGTAACCCAGTGCCAGCACCGTGCACTTAACCCCGTGAATGCCTTCCCTCTGTCCCCTGCAGGCAAGTGGATGAGGGCGTGTGGACCCCCCCCAACAACCTCAGCCAATCCCCCAAGAAGATGGCCCCCGAGACAGACTTCAGCAAAGGGCTGGAGCTGGAGATGCCCCCGAGCCCCCCCGTGAGCCTCCACCACCTGACAGCTGGCACTGAACCCCTGGCCATGCCCAGCTTTGGGCACAGCCCCCCCCAGACCCAGAGCCACCCCTCCAAGAGCAATAACCCTTCCCGGGCTCCAGAGATGGTGCCTGCCAAAACCCAGACGGGTCCTGAGACGCCCAGTAAGAAGAGCGCAGACAAAGCTGTGTCTGTGGAGGTAAGAGCCTGGGGGGGGTCCTGCCTGGGGGGGGCTCCTCTAATGGCTCTAACCCCACTGGAGCATCCAGCTGAAACTGGGGTGCACCCTCCCTGGTGGGTTTGGAGCTGATGAAGCGTCTTAATAGCTGGGAGCCCCAAATACTGGGGAGACCCAAGGCGCAACTGGAACATGGGGGGAAAGAGGGGCTCCAGCACAGCCTGGGGCATCTCAGTGATGAGTTAGAGCAGCACTGCTGTGGGCTTGGCTGGGGGGAGATTGTGGGGCAGCAGGATTCAGTGGGGCAATGGGGAGATGATGGTGGGACAGTGAGATTCAAGTGGGGCGGCGGGGTCACACGCTGCCCATAAGGGCAGGGCTGCAGTGGGCTGTGCTGTCACAGGCTGCTGAGAGGGACTGGGAGGAGAAGCGGGCAGCACTGACCCAATACAGTGCCAAGGACATCAACCGCCTGCTGGAGGAGACACAGGCTGAGCTCATGAAGGCCATCCCCGACCTGGAGTTTGCTGCCAAGCACAAGCAGACCACGGGCAGCAGCAGCGCCGCATCCACGCCAGAGCATAAACCATCCAAGCCTCAGCATGCACAGAAATCCACGGGGAAGGTGGATCCCAATGGCCGCAGAGGCTCAGGTATGGGGAGAGGAAAGGGGCTGCCTTGGTTTGTGCAGGATTGGGACAAGGGCAGGGGCAGGGCTTGGTGCCAGCTCTGCTTTCTGCTCAGATGAGCTGACAGTGCCGCGGTACCGCACTGAGAAACCCTCCAAATCACCACCTCCACCCCCACCCCGCCGGAGCTTCCCCTCATCCCATGGGTTGACCACCACCCGCAGCGGCGAAGTCATCGTCACCAGCAAGAAGGAACCTGGCTTTATGAAGGTAGGTGGTGGGGTTGGGCACGTGGTGGTCACCCCGTGGTGGTCACCCCATGGGTGCAGCCCCTCACCGCTCACTGCCCCACAGAAAGCAGAATCGGAAGAGCTGGAGACCCAGAAGCCACAGGTGAAGCTGAGACGGACGGTGTCAGAGGTGGTGAGACCTGCATCCACTCCACCCATCATCGCCTCTGCCATCAAAGATGACGACGATGAGGACCGCATCATCGCAGAGCTGGAGGTGAGTGCAGCAGTGTGGGGGCACGGGAAGCCCAGCCCACCCCGCTCCAGCCATCTGCAGGAGCAGCTTTGGGAAAGATCCCCACACAACAGCACAGTGGCTGCCATCCCCATCCTCACCCCATCTGTGGGGGCATGGGGACGTGCAACATCCTGTCCCCATCCTCATCCCATCCAAGGGGACATGCAACGCAGCGGTGGCTGTCCCCATTCTCACCCCATCCCTGGAGACATCCAGAACTGCAGTGACTGTCCCCATCCTCATTCCATCCATGGGTACATAAAGCACAGCGGTGGCTGTCCCCATTCTCACCCCATCCATGGAGACAAGCAGCACTGCAGGGACTGTCCCCATCCTGTCCCCATCCTCATGCCATCCCTGAGGACACAAAGCACAGTGGGGGCTGTCCTTTCCTCACTCCATCCATGGTGACATGTGGACAGCGTGATGCTCTCCCACCAGTGGTTGCTCCCCCGTAGTGCTGAGCCCTGTCCTGGCTGGGCTCCATCTCTGCCCACCCGCTGTGCCTCCCTCCTCCAACGCAGCTGTTTGACTCCCCAGGTGTTTCAGAGAAGCTCTGCCTCCCCTTTCCTCCCCACGCTCCGTTACGATCCTCTCGCGGCTGCCGTCTCCCCTGGGCACGCAGACATGTGGCCCAATGGAGCCTCCGTTGCAGCCGAAGGATGGAAGGTAACATCCCTCCTCCTGCAGATCTCCTCCTGGCTGGCTGCACTTAACCACCGCCTCTCCCATCTCTTAACTCACTTCTTCCTTATCCGGTTTAACCAACTAATGGCTTCTCTTCACTCCTCTGCTCACTGCCACTGCGCGTACGGCACTGACGCGGCACCGACCGAGCACCAATGTGGCACGGGGCTGCAGCCCTGGGGCTGAGGTTGGGGTGGGATCACTGCTCTGATGGCACTGAATGGGGCTGCAGATGGCGATGCACAGCACTGCAGGAGGGAGGGGAGGGGATGCTGGGAGCCCTGGGCTGCATCTCACCTCTTTTTGTTGAGCAGGGCGTCGGTAATGGGATGAACAGAGCAGTGGGGATGGGATGGAGCAGAGCAGCAGGGAGGGAGCAGAGCAACAGGGGTGGAGCAGAGCAATGGGGATGGGATGGAGCAGAGCAGTGGTGTGAGCAGATGGAACAGAGCAACAGGGATGGAGCAAAACAATGGGGGTGGGATGGAGCAGAGAAGTGTGATTGAGATGGAGCAGAGTGGTGAGGATGGAGCAGAGCAGTGGGAATGGAAAGGAACAAAGTGGTGAGGATGGAGCAGGGCAGTGGGAATGGAAAGGAACAAAGTGATGAGGATGGAGCAGGGCAGTGGGAATGGAAAGGAACAAAGTGGTGAGGATGGAGCAGGGCAGTAGGAATGGAAAGGAACAAAGTGGTGAGGATGGAGCAGGGCAGTGGTGTCAGCAGGTGGAGCAGAGCAGTGGGATGGGATGGAGAAAAGCAGTGAGGATGAGATGGAGCAGAGCAGTGGGGCAGGCGCTGGAGCAGCCCCTGCTCAGGGCAGTGCTGTGCTGTGGAGCAGAGGCCTCGTTGCTGCAGCTCAGGGGAGCAGCTCTCCTGCCAGAGCATTTCTCTTGCAGGGCACGGCCTGCTGCAGTCCCTTGGGTGCTGCACAGCTCATTGCACATCCCTGGCACTGTAACAGACAGGTGAGGGGAGGAAGGACAGGCTGTTCCAGGTGACTTCTTGCTGCTCAGGGATATAAAGGTCTGGCACCCACTGCAGCTCATTTGCAAGGGCTCATCCCTGCCTTCAGATCTGCTGAGAGCAGCATGGGGATGAGCAGCAGAGGCTCTGACACAATTGTTGTACTGGTGCAAGAGAAATCTCAGCCAGACCACAGCAGTCAGCTTCCCATACACATCGGGGAGGTGCAGCAGCACCAGGTCTGTTTTGCTGAAGACTCCAGCTCACTTGTAGCCTAAACCTCCTCTAATGCCCGTGGGTTACCCATGGGGAGTGCTGGAGCAGCCCCTCCCTGGCTGAACAAATCCTTGCAGCGATGCCTGGAGGCACAGCAGGACCCGAAATAACCCGGGTGCTCTTCCCCCAAGCAGCTGCCATCCCCCCAGCACAGCATCCCACGCTGCTCCCAGGCCCTTAATCTGTCTGACTTCTCTACCTAGGAGCTGGCAGCCCCAGCAGCCCCGGGGAGCAGGGCTTTCTCCCTCCCGCAGATTGTGCTCACCCAGTGGGTGTCTGCACCGTCGTCCCCTGAACCTGAACCCGCAGTGATGGTGGAACAGCACTGCTCTGAGCACAGGGATCCTGCTGGCCGCCGAGGAGCAGGAGGAGAGCGCACAGCCGAGGTGGGGAGGAGAGGTAGAATGTCAGCCAGCAGCCCCAGCAGGTCTCCGTTTGCAGCTGGGAGTCCTCCATCCACAGCCCTGCAGCCCCTGAGCACTGCACCCCGCACACTGGGAAGGACACGCAGGTTCCCCCTGGCACACAGCGAGGTCCCAGCTGTCCCGAAGCACAGAGCAAGCTGGCCGACAGCAGGAGCACGTGGAGACCCTGCTCCAAACTCTGCCAGAAGGCACGAAGGCAGCAGCAAGGCTTCTCCTCGGTGCGCTTTGGCACCTGGTCCCCAAGGGATGGTCACGGCACTCCCCCCCAGTGAAGGGCACAGCATCGCCCCGCAGCTCCGCAGTGATGCAGAGCCCAGAGATGGAGCTGGGCAGGATGCATCCCTCCCTCCTGGAGGTGCACAGTGGGAGCAGCGCGGCAGCACGCCGGTGCCAAGGGCCAGCTGCCCCCCAGCACTTCAGGGCAGCAGATGGAGCCAGGCTGGGCACCCCACGTGTGTGGCAGTGCAGGATCGGAGCTCTGCTGGGGCTGAAGCAGGGGGGATGGCAGCTGATGGATTACACAGCCCCACTCCTCAGGGAAGGAGCAAAGCAGAGGGGTCCCCCCTGCACAGCATGTCACCACGCAGCAGGGAGATTTGTGAAGGTGCCTACCAGAGACTGGACAGCCTGGAAGAAACCATCCGTGAGCTGGAGATGACCATCAGTGAGATCAGCAACCACCGTGCGGATGAGGCTGCGTTCCCTGCAGGACTGCTGGGGCAGGCAGTAGCCAAGGATGCCAGCCAGGAGACTGAGGATGGTGTGGGGCGCAGTGAGCACTGTGATGATGGCACTGCCCTGGATCTCAGCCAGACCAAAGCTGATGCTGCCAAGAGTCCATCCCTGAGCCACACCAAACCGCCTCTGCTTCCCAAGCCGCAGCTCGGCACGCCTCAGGTTTATTTCCTGTTACTCCTCTTGCCGTGCTCTGCCCTCGGATCTGCTCTGATGTCTGCTCTTCCTCCACCTGCTCCCTCTCTGTGACTCTACCTCCAGGCAGAGCTGAGGTGCGGCACCCATCTCCTTTTGGAGCTGATGTGTAAAGGCAGCAGCACCACCACCCACCTGCCCACTGCCACCTCGCACCTTCCTGGCTGTGCACCAGGGCTGGATCCCACCCTGCTGGCTGCAACGTGCCGTGCAGGGTGCTGGGCTGCGCAATGCCACGCTCACAGCCCGCAGCTCCGTTGTGTCAGGAGCAGCATTTGGCAAAGGAGCCCTCATTTGAGCCACCAGGGGTTGGCTTTGGAGGGGGCCGATCCACCCTCCAGGCAGTGGGTGGCAGAAGGATCCCATGCTGCTGTTGTTACTGGTTTAAGGGGCACGGACCCCCCCCCAGACTGGGGCTGTCACCTCAGACCCTGGGAGAGTGACTGCTGTGTGCGCATCCCAAACTGCAGGGTCTGTCCCTGCTGCTGGGCACTCCAGGAGTGAGCTGTGTTGTCGGTGTGCCCGTGGTGCTGGGTGAGCAGAATGGGAACGCAGCGCTCCTCTCCATCCCGTTTTGCACCAGCACTTTTCCGAGGAGCTGCAGTTACAGTGTGACTGCAGAGCAGCAGATGTTTCTCCTAATTAAATCACAGCTCAGGCTCCCCAGCGCCGTCCAAATGGGTTTCTGCTGGAATCTGCAGCAGCCACTGGGCTTGCTGAATAACTGGAAAAAGACTGTGGGGAGGGGGGGGGGGAGGAACCACCCCCAGCTGCTCACAAGTCAGCCTGCTCCTTTATTAACAATCAGTGCTGCTGAATGAATCTCCTTTTTCATTTGCAGCAATTATCTCAGCCCCGTTTTCCTGCTAGCACCGGGTCTCTCACTGCAGGAACAGCCCCCTCCACTGGGTGTAGCTGCAGGTTCTCCTCTGCTCGGGTGCTGGAGCAGAGCCCACGGGGTGGATTTATGGCCGTGGCTGGCATGCATGGCTCCCAAAGCAAAGCTGAGAGCAGGAGGGGCTGAACTGCACGGTGAGGGCAGAGGGCTCTGAGCTCAGATGCAAACGCCAGGCTCCTGCCTGGATGTGGGGGGGATGCAGGTGGGAGATGGACCCCTTGTGCAATGGTTTCAGGGGTTCCAAAGGAGCGCAGAGGGTCCCAGAGCACGGGCAAGGAGAGCAGGCACTGACATTCCATGCAGGCAGCAATGCTTCTGATTTGAGCCCAGAAACAACCTGCTGGCTCTGAGCTGTGTGCGCATCCTGTGTGCGCTTTTGGGGCAGCACAGCAGTGCCACTTTGGCCACCAGTCCATGCTGGCACAGGGCAGGTGGGGTTTTGGGGTGCCGAAACAGAGCGCTCCTCCTGCTGCTGCTCTTGCAAGTCTTTGTATCTCAGCCTGTGCAACCCGTTAATAAAAAACCTCTGCGTTCCCACTGTCGCCGTTTCCACCTGGAATCTGCTTTCACCTGCCGTCGCCTCCTGTCCTTTTTTTGGGGGTTGGGTGCTTTCCTCCTACCCTCCACCCCCCCAGTGTTTGCTCCTCACCCCTCTGTACGTGGCAGAAGGTGCTGATGGTGGGTGCTGCCCGCTCCCTGGGCTCCTGTGGCACACGGAGCTGATGACCCCCCCTCAGCTGCTGTGATTGTGGCAGAGCCCCACAGCCCTGTGGTGCTGGGAGGACTGGAATCCCACAGTGCCTGGCTGTGCTGCTGTGGGTTTCCCCCTGTTCCGAGCTTTTTAATCTCCCCAAATTCTCTGTCCCAACAGAGTGGTGGCGTTTCCATCCCACCCATGAAGATGGTGAACCCGGCATCCAGGCTGAAGCAGAGCCAGCAGGGCAGCCCTGACAAAAGCAAGCACATCAAGCAGAGGATGGAATACATGAGGATCCAGGGACAGCAGCAGGTAGCCTATCTCTACAGCAGGTTCCCAGCAGCAGGGCCAGATGCTGCTCCCCCTGCTCTGTGTGTTATGGGGCGGGGGTTACTATAGTGGGATGCTGGGATGGGGGGATGCAGCCCTTTGTTGAGCAGAGGGTGCAGGAAGCACTTCTGTGCCACGCTGGGTGCTGCTGGCTGAGCCCAGCACCTGGAGATGTGGTGAGGAGGGGGTGCTATGGGTGGGGGCTGGAGCCCTGCAGTGCATCCCTATGCACCTGTGCCAGGAGGGGGGTGGTGGGATGGGGTGGTGGGATGGGGTGGGGGCCACAGCAGCTGGAAGAGGTGAGCTGTGGGATGGGACTGTGCCTGCCCTCAGCCCAGCATCGACCCCATCCCCATCCTTGTCACTGGGACTGATTGCACTCTGGGTACCACAGCCCCATCCTGCTCCTTCCTCCCCTCCCTCTCCTGTCCCAGGTCCCAGCACTGCCCCTCCCTGCACGCGGGCAGCACCGAGCCTTCCCCCATCCTGTCCTCCTCCCCTCCCCACTCTGTGTCTCAATCCCTTTCCCCGGGCCTGTCCTTGGCAAACCACCCAATGAACCCCATTTTGCTCATTCTGTCCGATCCATAAAAAAAAGTGGAGGGGAAAAAAAAAAAAAAAAAAGCCAAACAGCCTTTCTCCCAGCTTCCTCAATCTGCAACCAGGGCGAGCGATGAGGAGGGGGGGATTTTGAGCAATTTGGGCAAATGTCTCCTGAGCAAAACGGGTCCCTCCCTCCCCACTGACCCCAGTTGTGCATGAGGGCTCAGCACTGGTGCCATTTGTCACTGCTGTCACCAGGACACGGCTGGGGCAGGGGCACAGCTGCCCTCAATGCAGCCCCACATCACCCCCTGGTGCTCACAGCCAGGCTCCCCCTGGCAGCTTCATGCAGCCCTGCTCCCCAGCAGCCCCCAGCCCCACAACCCAAAGCCACAGAGCTCTCAATGACGCCACCAAACCCTTTGCCTGGAGGCTACAGATGAACTCAGCTGTCCCCATCTCACCTCGATGGCAGCACCATCAAACCCCCCTCCTCACCAGGACCCCCGGATCCCCTTTCATCCCCACCACCCTTTGCGCAGTGCCCACCCCCTACTTTACGGACCCCTTTCTGAGCCCCTTCCCAGTGCCAACCCCTCCGGCTGTTGCTCCTCTTGGCCTCACCAGCAGCAGGGTCTGTCGGTGTGGCTGCTGGCAGTGGGCTGGGGGCCGGGGGGGGGCTCTTAGAGGAACCACAAGCAGCAGAGCTGCGGCACCCCGGGCGCACAGCGCAGCCCGTGCCCACCCTAACGCTGCCATTCTTGTCCCCCCCCCCCTCCCACCTTTCTGCCCCATCCCCTCCGCCTGCCTGCCTCTGTCCGCCTGTCTGTCCTCCTGTCCGT